CATGGGTTGCATTTTGATGTTGCATGTAAAGGATGTAACCATGTTCATGAGCAAAATATGTATCATGAGTATTTCAAAGCTTGTGGTGGATGTGAAAGTGTGCATGTTTTGGTTTTCTTGCGGTGTTTCACGTTTGAATGTACATATTGTGTTTTCTTGTTATTTTTGGAACTCTTCATGTTATGTTTTTATAGTTTGCATGTGGGGTACATTCCTACCCTCTAAATCTAGAATTTTTAGAGTGTGTAAGGGTGAGTTTTCTCTTTCTTTTAGTGGAAGAGATGAGTGAGTATATGAAAGTGTTAGAAAGGTGGTTATGGTTGTGAGTTTATGAGTTTTTGGGTATAGATTAGATCTCTATTTTACAGAGAAAATACTGGTGGTTATGCATGAAGTTTAGTAAGAAACTAGATTTGGAGGAGTATTCCCACCTTTCTATACAAGAGAATGTGTTCCAAGTTGTCTTGTCTCCATATTTTTGACGTAAATAATCAATTAAAATAGGTGGTAATCGAATATTTCGAGCTTAGAGGTCAAAAAAACATGAATTCCTCTTTTGAATAATTAATTACATTAAGTGTTAATCGATTAATGTTAATAGATTAAAATAAGTGGTAATAGATTACCACATTAAAACTCAAAATAAACCTTTTACAATTTTTCCGATTTATTTGAGACCCTTCCCAAGGTAAAAAAACATACATATAGATAGTCAAATTAAGGCTCTTTGAGTCTAGTTTTCAATAAAAAAAATCAACTCATTTGGACTTATGTACAAAGAGTTATGAGCAAAATAGTAAGCAAAAGTCAAAGTTGAAAACATCCTATTTTACACAAGCACTTGGGCTTTGACGAAAAAGATGAGTGTTTCTCTTTCTTTGAGTTGAAGAGAAGGATGAATTGGTGGAGACCAGAAGTAAAGAAGAGAAAGGGTTAAGTTAAGTTTGAAAAGAGAGGGAAATGAATGTTTGAATGATTGATAGAGTAAACAGGAGAAAAGGTGGAAAATGAGAAAAATTGAGAAGAGTTAGTAATTCTCGAGAATTAGAACTTATGGACCCACGTGGGGCCCATGTTGGTGTGATAGTAATTTTATTTTTCAGTGGGGGAATTTATTCATTTTAGAGGGGTGTCTTAGTAAAGTTGTTTTAAACAATTATTGAATTGTTGGTTGTTTGCTTGTAATTTCGTCTGACGTGTGAGCATTTCAATCTGAGTACAAGTTCGAGTCTCACGTGAGATAGAGATTCGAGTGTGACATTTCCTTCTATGCGAAGAAATAATTGGGTGGACGTCTCGCCTAATGACTTCGGCCCGTGCTAAGTATAGTGCACTAGTACATGTAGTATCGATGCTTTTTACTCGTTAGTCTTTGAGGAGTCAGGGGAGATAGGTTTGAAGTTGCGATAGAAGACGACTTGAATCACATGTTATTGAGAATAGGTTTTGATGACGAAATGCAAAGAAATGATTAGTCCATCAAAGGACAATCGACTATTATTAAGAACAAGTTATGACGACGAAATACAAAGAAATGACATTGGTTTATGAAAAGCCTAATTGTGATGTTATGTTTTGCATCGAAATATGATGTTATAAATTGTTATAGTCTGTTTATACTGTATTATACATTATATTTTTTATTGCTCATCATTACATGTTGTGGTTACGGTTCCATCTGCAGTGATCGTACTTGTACGGGAATAAATGGTATTGTAGATGAAACTGGTTTGGAATAGCTTGACAAGAGAGACGGAGAATAAAATTTGTCGAGATTTCTTTTTAATTTAAAGTGTTTTCTTTAAGTGTGTTAATATTGGTATTGTAAAAGACAATTAATATTTGTTTTAATAAAGTGTACGAACATATGATATGTTTATGATTTGCTTTCACATTTTTAAATGAAAAAAAAATTGGACAAGAACATGTTATAAAATTTGTATATTATTCTTTTATACGTAGCACAATTAGGGGTGTTACAGTTTTCATACTCGTCCTAATTCTTAAGAATATATATGTATTTACTTTTTAGTTTTATAACTTCTTTTTCTTTCTCATTACACCCTTTTTTTCTCTCCTGATTGTTTGACTTGTTTTATATCATGAAATTCACTTATATCTCCAATATATTTTAACTTTTATGTTTGTACCTTTAAAACTTATATTCAAACAATGTATTACGGGTGACTCAAATAGTTTTTATATCTCATATTTAAATATTTTCATTCATTTTCAATGTTTTATTTATTATTTTTTTCCACTACTGGAAAAATAATTATTTCCGACGGCAAATTACCGAAGGACTTTGTGGCCTTCGGTAAATGTAGTTTACCGAAGGATTTTTGGCCGTCGATAGGCCTTCGGTAAACGTCCATTATCGACGGCTTTTGGCATTTTCCGAGGGTTTCTGGCCTTCGGTAATGCCCTACTTTTTTGTAGTGTTCATATAAAATATTTGACTCTCAATTTCAAGTATTCAATTACATAAACCTTTCATTTAATAAGTCATGTAAAAAAACTTAACATTGGGTATCATTAAAACAATTATCATCATCTCTTAACAGTTGAACTAGTTTGACATGTAAAATTTTATCTTAAATTTTCACGATAATTTTCATCTCATCATTCTCTAATTATGCATTTATTTTCCTTTGTATCATTTTGTTGAATGGTGTATCAAATTATTTCTAAGACACATATTTGATATTTTAATTTTTTTTAATATTTTTATTTGTTGTTTATGTTTATCACATAGAGTATTATCTTAATGTTTTTTTATATAATTAATTTTTATAACTTGTTATCATAAATATAATTTTATTACTGTAATTGTATAAATACATTTTATTTATTATAATATAATAACTTAATATTATTGTCACGAAACTTGTTTATTATTATCTAACATAAATTAAAATTTTGAAAAATGAAATATGTATGTGAAATTTCAACGAGTTTAACTTTTGTTCTTTTATGCGGTTTCGTTCAAATGGTATATTATAATCTTTATTAATATGTAAAAAAAGATTTTAGTAGAATTTAGTGAATGTACTATACATGGGTAGCCGACTGTTTTAGGAGAGGACATTTACACCGACCGCTAATTCAATGATTGTGAGTCAGGTAAGATGAATGTTGTTAATGACCAATTAATACACTTGTTGATCATATCAGTGAAAAATATACGGTATTTATGGGTGATTGACAGGTATATTATTAAATATTCATGGTTTGATTGTAGTATGAAATATGAATATAAGACATTATTGCCATATCTAATATGAATTAATGAGCTTGATTGTCATAAACCCTATAAATATAAATATAGGGTCAATGTCCAGGTAAAGATATTCTTTTCTATTCTTTTCTATCCTTTTTTATCTTAATCTATTATAATAAAATATAGACCTCTTTATGAAACATATCTGATTTGAGCGTCAGAGTGTCTTCTGCAGGTCAAATCACCCATCGGAGAGTGGATTACGTTTTCGGAGAGCATTGGACAATCAAAAAAGAGCAGAGCAAAGAAAGACGATTGACCATCGAACCAATTCAACCGAAACACTGAAAGAAAGTAAACAATATTTAAAATATTTTTAAACTTTGGTAATTGTTTTTTATAATCTTTTAAAAATATTTTTTAATTTTATCAACTTTGTTCCATTAATATTTACAAATTTAATAAATATTTTGGTTCATATAATACTCTAATTTAAAATGTATATAATTATATTTTTTCTAAATATTGGATATTAAAAAAATAAGAATACATATTTTTTATACTAACTATTTGATAATATCACCTTTCATTTGTTATGAATTTTTATAAAAATTATTTAATTAATAATAAAAAGTAAGAAATGGATACGAACATAAATATGACTATACTCATTATTGGGTGGGGATAAAAATGAAAACGTATTATTTAATTTGTAAAAGCTTACAAACTAAATATATTAAAAAGGAATGAAAACGTATAATCTATAATTCATATAGACTTATATAATTTTATAATTTATGGACTTTTTTTTCCTTTTAATTTTATAATTCATATAGAGTTTTATTATTTATCAAACTTTACCTATCATTTTAAACATATTTATGAAATAATCGTATATCCTTTTCAATATATTTAGTAAAGTTATTTCAAAAAAATTTATTGACTAAAATAAATGATGGCAAAATTCTCATGTTTATTCTTTTGAGTTCCATGTCTAAGGACTTCATTCCAATTAACTTTTACTAGTGGAATTTATCTGCCTTTCAATTGTTCGATTCTCTCTCTTTAATAGAAATATTGCGTTTCAAATGTGAAGTTATCACTTAATTCTACTATTTATTTATTATATGAGAAATTTTAAAAATATATTTTCTCCATTAAGACACATGAAAGATATTGCGAAAATTGGAAAGAAAAATAGATAAAGAAATTAGATATAGAACAAGATCTATTTTCTGGGAATTTGATAAGGACTAACAAATTAAGGTTTTCTACATTTTGGTTTTCTTCATAGTTTTTCTGAATCATGTTAGGATATAAGATTAGATTTTCTTCAATCAGCACAAAGGTTTTCTACATTTTCTTTGATAAAATGTTTCATAAGATGTCATACTTATGCTAAAATGAACCTATTATTAGATTCATTACACATTCTATTCGGCTTCAGAATGAGAACATCAATGTTTCATGGTTTTTGAACTCCCTTTCAACTAAACAAATTTGGAGTGACCTACAACAACACTACCAACAATGCAATGTACCATTGAGAATCTTTTATTGAAATATGCTCAGACATGTATATTCTATTTCTTTTATTACTATTATAATCCTCTGTTATATTTTGTATAATTAAAAGTACCGGCATAATATTTACTAAGAAAATAATATTGATATACTTTAATATATCTTTTATTCATCATACATTTTTAACTTTCAAGAGTTCAGAATTTTAATCCACTTATTATTTTATAAAGGCAATCTTTGCGGATGGGTAAAAACATTATACACTTCGTTTCTAAAGAACTGAAAAAAGAAAACAATTACTATTGACTGTTATCTCTGTGTTGCACTCAAAATTTGGCAAGCACAGCACAGAATAGATAATCTATAGATCAATCTTACAAACTTTCAACTTTTAACAATACAGTTCTCAACATTCTACCATGTGGCCTCCTTTGGAGACCATTTTGCCTCTCTCTATGTCCCTAGTCCGTTCACAAACAACATTTACAATTAAAGAAATCAGATCTTCTGTACACACATTTGCATTCAACATCATCAACACAAGCCTTTCTCTTCCCAAAGATGCCCTGAAAACATATATACAACTCAAATTCACGTGAGAATAAAAGTCCATTGCCACATATATGCACACATGTATATTATATCAATCACTGCCATAGTTTTCTTACGGTTGGATGTAATGTAATCAAGTTCACATTCTCAACCACGTGACCTCAGTACAGAATTTCAACCGTTTGGCAGTATTATTATACAAAAGATGCTGCAACTTGCTGCTAGTGATCAGTACTCAAAGATTTGGCCATATCTTGTAACTGTATGTAGGACCCTTCAAAGATTACCCATTGGATAACTCAAGAATTGCTAAGATCTCTTTCAACTCATCAGAGGATCAGAGAATATTAGAGGTAAAAGATGAAGTCAAAGTACCAATAAAAGGGTTCCTACAGATTGTATCGCAGAAAACATAGATCCATTAACTTTAAGACTTTATGTACATGATCTTTCTTCTGTGAATTTTGTGTACTTTTTTTAGATTAAGAGTTAATATTTGTAATTAAATAAAAATAAGAAAGAGGGTATGGTCAAGAAGCATCATGATTGCAGTTGTGTGGTCGTCCTTGATTAAATGAGTGGTAATGTAAAATAACTGAATTTTGTTCAGAATTTTTAATTGGTGAAACTGGTCTAATTTGTTCTCACTAGATCTGTGCATAGCTGTTCTAAGATCTAGTAATCATATGAGGCAGGAATAACTAGGGGAGAAATAGACTTGTATGATACTAGAAAAATGTTTATGTAGGGTTGGTTCTCTTATCATCATATCATGTTGAGACCTATGTCACTATCAGACAACCTGGGTAGTGTTCAAACAAACTGAAAGAAACATTACGTTATGAAGAGAAGGACCTAATCACACAACATACAAGTGTTGTTGAACATCAGAGTGCATCTTCCTAATCAGATATTTGCTGATGTTAGAGTCTCTTAAGTGTCTTTTTCTCTTCTAACTTGGCAATAAAACAAATGCTCATACCTACCCCAATCACTAATCTAACATCTCAATCACAACAAAATCACTTTTTTAATCACAACTCATAACCCTTGGCAAATTAAAATAAGGTTTTTCCTGACCCATATCAAGCAACAAACACCAAAAGCAAAAAACAAGAGAATAAGTGGTCACATCACTTCAAAGCAAATAAACAACTGTTTAATATAGATTACTTTCTTCATCAATTCATGTAATATTATTCATTATTATTGTACTAAGAATAAGAGTTTATAGTATTTCACATGACTGTTAAATTCAGCTATCCCCATCAAAAGAAAATCCAGTAATAAACACTGTGGCCCAAATAAATTAGTGGTCTGAATTTCAATATCCTAATTATCATTTCACACTTCATCCCACTAGAAGGTAGATGCCCCCTGACTTTTCCTCTCACAAAAATGTCCAAAGATAAAAATAATAAAACACCGAAAACCGAATCCCCTAAAGTTCGAAAGCGACATCACCATAACAAACACTGACCAATATTTCTATTACCCTTTTTGTATAAATATTCTAAATTAATTAAAAGATTCTTCTACTTTAAAACATGAATCTAGTTCTAACTCAACAAAATAGGTTGTCTAATATAATACATTTTCATTTTTGTTTTTCTGGACACCAAATAAGGACGAATATTTATTTACTCTTTATCTTTTATTCTACAAAATACGATTTTTTTTTTCTAGAAAAAGAAAGAGTGACGTCGGCACAGAGTGCTCAGTAGCAGTAGTAGAAGCAGAAACCGGAAAGTTCGCACTAACTTACCACCTGCTTTCAATCCCGGAAAATGACGTCATGGGCTATTTCCATCAACGGTTGGAGGCACTCCGGCGCAAACTTCCTGGCGAAGAGGTAAACATAGCTGGAGTTGGAGCGCCTGAGGCGGTGGATAAGTTCCGGCGAGATCTCCGGCGCGGTGTAGGTATGGGGGTGGCCGTCCCAGGAGCCGGTCCAGTTGACCCGGGTGAGGGTGAACCCGGTAGAGCCATTCGGATCCTCCATGGAGAGGAGAGTGGGGAAATAATGTTCTTCGGGGTAGCAGGGTTCTGGGGTGAGGCAGGGGAGGCGGAACTTGTTCCAGAGGCGGCGATCACGGACGACGATGCGCGCGTGGCGGCGGGTGAGGATGAAGAACTGGGAGCCGACGCGGAAGGAGGAGAAGGGGACTTCGGGGAGCATGGGAGGACGCGCGTCGTAGCGCGCTTCGAGGTTGGGGTCGTGGGAGAGGATCTCGATGAAGCTGCGGTGGGGAAAGGTGGGGTTTTTGAAGAGGTAGTTGTGGGTGAAGGGGAGGGAGTGGAGGGGGATGCAGTGCTGGGAGAGGAGGGCGAAGTAGAGGTTGAGGGGGTCGTGGAGGAGTGCGGCGGCGATGAGGCGGCGGGCGGCGGCGATGAGAGATGGGGAGGCACGGGAGGTGGGTTTTGAAGGGATGAAGCGGGAGCGGGGGAAGGGGCCGCCGGGCGGTTGGATTGGGGGGTGGGCGTGGATGTAGATGTTGAAGAGGTGGGTGTGGGAGTGTGAAAAGAAGGTTTCCCAGAGAGGGGAGAAGGTGAGGTTGGAGTTGGTGAGGAAGAGGAAGGCGATTTTGGGGGTGGAGGAGAGGTGGGAGGTGGTGTGTGGGGCGGCGGCGCGGCGGAAGAGGGCGAGGTCGTCGGCGTCGGGTGGTGAGAAGAGGAGGTGAGGGGAGAGGAGGAGGAGGAGAGGAAGGGAGAGTAAGAGGGTGAGAGAGAGCAAGAAAGGAGATGTCAACATTGGTGAAAGATAAGAGAAGAAGAGCGTTAGAGTGTCTGAGAAAAAACAAAGCTTTCGTTTTTCATTTTCTCTTTCTTCTTCACTTCACTTCTCCTCTCTTCTTTCTAACACTTCTTTACTTTTTTCTTCCCATAGTCAAAAGCCTCTGATTTTCATTTCCCTTTTCAACCATTTTTAAAGAAAATTTCTTTATTATTACAATAATATGATTGTGTAACCACTCCCTTTAATGTTAAATTATTTATGTGGGCAATAGTGTTTTGCTATTCATCAATAGTTCTTATAGTTTACATTTTTTATATAAATCTATTAAATATTTTAACTTTAACTAGACTTAATATTTTACTATTAAACTATTTTTACTTAATTTTTAATTAAATTTTATTACTATGCTGAGTATTTAAAAAATGTATAGTCTTAATTGAGTTCCTCAATATTTACTTTTTTATTAGTTAAGTAATGTAATTGTTATATTGTATGTTGATCATGTTTGATTGTATTTATTTATAAGTGTAAAAGGTCATATAGTTAACGGGATGAAATATTGTGTAAAACCATAAGTAACTTTTGTTGTTAAAAATATGTTTTATAACAATATTAATATCGTTGATGATAAATAAGTAATGAGTGATGAGTTTCTCATCTAGGGTTATAAAAAGACAATAATAATTAGATATGAATCAAAACTACATATAAGATATTAATATTATTTTTAATTAAAAATTTTAAGATAATAAAATTATAAATTTTTCTATGATGTTTAACTTTCTTATTTTTATTATTATTATATATTTTTTTCAGCAATAGAAATATAACAAATACAGATTTACAATGAGCTTCAACTTTTAATGTAATAAAACACATAAAACGAGACAGTTTATTTTAGACTTTGTTTGCACTGATGAGAAGATGTATAAAAAAATAAAGTGTATATATATATATATATATATATATATATATATGTTTTTATATAATTAGTTTTTATTATATTTTTATAATAAAATAATATAACATGACTAAAATGATAAAATATAAATTATTATTTTTAAAATAATAATAATTAAATAATAACAATTAATACAGATTATAATAACATTAATTACAATAATAATATGAATAATAATACCAGTATTAATAATAATAATATAAATAATATTAATAATAACCGATCAATTTATCAATTAAAATATTCTTTTAATTTATTAAATTCATTACATCATTAATTTTTATAAACTTTCATCTCAAATTTATTAAGTTTAATCATTTTTTTCTTATTTCAAATAATTTCATTCTCACTTCGCTTTTCCTTTAAAGTCATTCTTCGAAAATTTTCAAAAAAAAAATAAATACGTACTAAACCAAACTCACAATGAGATTTCTAGTAATAAAGGAGATGAGTTTTGTTCATTTTTAATAGGCTTAATACTAATGTTTCTTCTAATTTTTATCAGTTTTGTTCGAAATAGTTCTAATTTTTTTAAAATATTCAATGTAGTAATAAAGATAGTAATTTGTGTTCAGTTTAATCAGTTTTGCAAATATCGTTTGTCCAACAGTGCAATCATTGAATGAGATGTAATTTATTGGCTGAGGTGGACACTTTAAGGCATAATGAGGCATACCGAGGTAAATTTATGTTTTTCTAAAAATGTATTTATGATATTTAATGAAACTCATCACTCTCCCTCTCTTCCCTGTACTCACCAAACCCCAATTCTCCGATCTCTTCTGCTCCACTCTTATCTACCATTTCAGTTCACCTTCCTCCAACACCATCAAAAACCAAACACCACAAACCTCAAATCCCAATCATTAAAAACATCAAACAATATCATTAATCCCAAGTCCAATTCTCTTCCAAACAAAATGGACAATTCCACCCAAGATTCTCTCTTGCGATCGGAGAACTCCGTCACCTATGAATCACCATACCCAATTTACGCCATGGCTTTCTCACCCTCCCACCCCCAACGTCTTGCCCTTGGAAGCTTCACTGAAGAATACACCAACCGCGTCCACATCTTATCCTTCCACCCTAAAACCCTCTCAATCTCCCCACACCCTTCCATCTCCTTCGATCACCCTTACCCTCTAACCAAGCTAATGTTCCATCCTCGCAAACCTTCTCCCTCTTCCTCCACCGACCTTCTCCCTCTTCCTCCACCGACCTTCTAGCCACCTCTGGCGACTATCTCTGCCTTTGGGACGTCCGTGAAAACTCCATCGAGCCCTTCTCCCTCTTCAACAACAGTAAGACCAACAAGTTCTATCCTTCCCCACCTCCTTCGACTGGAACGACATCGATCACAACTGCATCGGCACCTTCAGCATCGACACCACCTGCACCATCTAGGACATTGAGCGCACCGTCGTCAAGACACAACTCATCGCCCACGACAAGGAGGTCTACGACATCGCTTGGGGCGAGGCAAGAGTGTTCGCCTTCGCGTCCGCTGACGGCTCCGTACACGAATCTTCGATTTGTGTAACAGAGAACACTCCACCATTGTCTATGAAATCCCCCATCCTGATACCCCTTTGCTTTGTTTGGCTTGGATTAAGCAGGATCTCAGGTACATGGCTACCAATTTGTTGGATAGTAATAAAGTTGTGATATTGGATATTAAATCCCTCACTACTCCTGTGGCGAAATTAAAGAGGCATCGTGGGAGTGTGAATGCCATTGCTTGGGCTCCTCATAGCTCCACACATAGGGGTGATACTCAGGCTCTTACAGGGGAAAGAGGGAGATTGATGAGTTTCATTAAATATCAGAAATACATTTTAAACAAAACATAAATCCACCTCACTATGGCTTAAAGTGTCTAGGTCAGCTAATAAATTACATATCATTCACTGATTGCACCGTTGGACATTTGGTCGTTAACAATTTAAATGGTGTTTGCAAAAAGAACTAAATTGAACACAAATTACTAGAACTACATTTAACATTTTAAAAAAATTAGGATCATTTCGAACAAAACTGACAAAAATTGAGACCAACAATGATATTAAGCCTTTTTAATAATAACAAAATAATTCGCTCTCATGAATTTTATCACATGAGTAAACTAAATGAGAAAACAAGATAAAACTTGTTTCGTCGAGTTAAAAATAAATAAATGACAAAACTCAGTAAAAAAAATATAACAATTTAATACACACAAAAAATATAATAATAACTCAACTAAAAATACTAAAATTTATCAATGAATTTAAAACTTAATCAAGTTTTGATTATTTTAAATTTCTATTTGATGGTAAATATAAACTAGTTAAATATTAAATAAAAACAAAGATATAATTAACAAAAATAAAGTAGTGAATACCATTTTAAACTCTAAAGTTGAAATTAAAAAAACGAATATTGTAATTTGGAGGGTCTCCTTTTTAATTTAGGTAATAGGGTATTTAGAAGAAAGTGAAAGCTAATAAGAAGAGTTGTTTGTGATTTATAATGAATTTAGGAAATCCTAATAGAGTGGTATGAAAAAGAAGTGTTAATGGTGATAAGATTAAAGGAAAGAGAAGGACAAGTGTGTCTATGATGATGATATTGAAGTGCTACATGTGTTACAACACCAAAATATGTTTTTGGAGGAATCCACACAACAACAAAGTGGGATTTTATTTTTTATGAAAGGATAAAAAGGTTTACATAATTTCATTATATGCTTCAAGATAATTACCTTTTTTTAATTTTTTTGTTTAGTTTGTTTATTACTTTAATTACGTAATTTTGGTTTACCTGCTAGTTTGATGTTCAATATTTTGATTTATCTGTTTTTTCGTGTTCGTGTTTTATCAAATATTAAACATCATGATAATTGATTGAGGAAGGTTACGTGATTAAACATGATGGGTTAAATTTACGACAAAAAAATTAAAGACGATAAACTTAAAATTTGGAATATATAATTTAATGTGTCTCTGGAATAAATAAAACAATCAAATAGTTCCGAAAAAAGTATCAAGTCATTTATTTCATAAGATTGTATAGAGCAGTTAAATTAGCTTTAAAATAAAAAGTGATAATTACATCTATAACCTCCTAACGGTATTATACCGACCATTAGTCAAGTTTCATGTTCATTAAGAGATTATAAATGCGTATTATGATTTTAGTTTTTCAATTTTCACATGAAATTTATTGTTTTTTAATTTTAATATATTTTGGTTTTCAAATTTTGAAATAAATAGATATAGTTTTAATCTAATTATTTTATATTTTCTACGTGTCAAACATGTTTTTTTAGTTAACATTAAAGTGAAAAGGAATCAACTAACTTAAACACTAACATGATACATATTTAATATATTAAAAAAATTTAATTAAATTAAAAAATATATATTCATTTATTTTTAAATTTTAGAAACTAAAATATATCAAACTTTTAAACAAATGAAAGATGAATTTTGTATAAAAATTAAAACGTTGAAAACATATTTAATCCATACCATTAATTTCAGATACTACTTATAAAAAAACACATATTTTAACTTATAAAAAATACAAAAATATTTATAATAAATACTTTTATGTTAGCTTTTATAATTGTCCTAAACTTTTAGTATTAGTTATTTACATGTGAACACGCTATTATTCACACAACAAAGCATATGATAAAATAATATTGTTGGAAAATGTTCAAATATGAAATCTCAAAAGTTTGAATAGGCAGAACTTATACAACCCATTCATGTATCAAATACATTTTTTTACCTCAACAAAGGCATAAAGAAATTTCACACTTGAGTAAGGTATAAGGGCATCAATCAAAGCCACACATTTATTCTCAATTAGCAACCAACATCATGTTAGGATTGTTTTTTTATGTTAGTTTCACAAAATTACATTCAATAACTTTCATCACTTTTTATTTTTTACTTTATACATCGATCTACATGATTTTGATCATTAATTTAAATTGTCTTTGATGAATTTATAATTCAAAAGTCATATTATAATCACATAATTATGGATTTTTTTTTACCATTGTAGTGTAATTTAAAATCGTAATAAAAAATGTAAAAAACATTTATAATAAGAGTTAGTCGTAAAAAGATGATGACTTCATTATAAAGAAGTC